TTTTCTGACCTTCATTTTCCTTTCTCCATATTTTCTCCAATTAAATATTCTTATAATGGCTATATTTCTTCAAATATAAGAAATTATTTTGTTTTGGAATGAGGCAAGGTTAGAAGCAAACATATAAATAAATGTAACTTTGAACAATTAATAAATTTTGGATGCACTTTTTGTAATTGCTTTGCCTGTTTGTACTGTGCAGTCACCATATCTTCCCACTGGAGCATAAATTTACAAACTTCATGCAAATGCATTATTTGTAATAAAACTGACTAATGAGCATTAAAAGCCAATTATTTCTATACATCTGCTGGCTATGGCTGGCAATAATTGTGCATCATTTAGATTTGTGACTGTGTGTTTGCCTTAGTAAGATTTTAATCACTCACTAATTTATGGATTACAATATGCATCATGGGTGCCTGTATTCTCCAAACTGCCTCAGACTTATAAATCAAGAGGCTATAGAACTTGGAATTGTGACAATAGCAGCCTCTTTTTTAAGCTGTGTCTTCATGCCAATGTCTACTAGAGGATCATAGATGAAATAAGACAATCCCCCCAACCCACCTCAAAACACATTGAGTACAATTGATCTTCCATTCCATTGATGAATTATTTTTTCATTTTTTTAATAATACCACACTATGCATTTTTATGTTACTTTTCTATTTGCCGGTTAATGACTTCTTGGTGGCCTAACCTTTGTGGAGGCAGGGTCCCTATGGAAGCAGCATACTTTCAAATTTAGGTAGAAGGGGACTTAAATCCTTTTTCCAATTCTTGTTGCAATATCTTAGGCAAATTACTTAGTGTCTCTGAACCCATACCTATGAAAACTTTTTAAAATAGTAAAGGTGTAATATTAGTAGTAATGAGGATTTTGATGAATGACAGGCCAGTCTCTGAAGGAATTGTCCTTAACTACGGCAGGAATGAGCTTGGGAAAAGGACTGGTGATTGACTCCCACCTAAACCTCTGAAACAGAGCATTCTAACTAGAAAAAAGAGAGTCTGGAAAATGCTGCTGGCCACCTCCACTCTCCAACCCTCTCTCCATCAAGGACAGGCAGAGAATTAGAAGCAGAATGCTATGAATAGTGCATTTTTACATTCCCCACCTTGATAAGAACAAGAAAAAGTACAGATTGTTTCAAATATACAGATGCTAGGATAGGAGGACAAAAAATTTCTGATGAGTAAAGAACCATATTGAGGGAATGAGAAAAAATATCCACCTTCCCACAAAGCAGTGCAAGATAAAGGTCTACCACACACTAGACATTTGGCTAGGGACCATGCTTATTACATAGTTTAAGTTGTGAGGGGACATTAAGGTGGTACCCAGATGAATAATAAAAAGATCAAAGTGAATACACACTATCTGTTGGCAAACAGCAGACATGTACATGTCTTATCTCATATAAGAAAAAACTAGAAAAGAACAACAGAAAACAACATGGGCTGTATGAAAACATTCTGACACATGACAAGGTGAGACATAGCAATAAAGATTCAGAGAAAAGCAAAATAATTCACTACAAATGGCAGAAAAAAATAGAATGCATCTGCTTTGTGTTCTCAGTATATAAAAAATTTGTTGCTATGAAGTAAGACAGAATTTGTGTTGGTCAAGTGGAAGATAAGTTTTTAAAGGAGCTGGCAGAGTTAGGGGGAAAATGTAATTAAACTACAATATGATATCAAAAAATAAAATATACATTGGAGACAGTAAAAAGCTGAATTTAGACTTGTTCAATCACTGAGGAATGCAAGGTCAGCAAACAGTGGTTCACAGGCCAAATCTGGCACATCCCTGTTTTTATATTGCCCATGAGCTAAGAATAACTTTTACATTTTTTAAATGGTTGGAAAAAAAAACCCAAAGAAGAATAAAATTTTGTGGCATACGGAACTTATATGAAATTCAAATTTCAATGTCATGCATAAAGTTGGATTGGAACACAGTGCCACTCTCCCATCCATTTACATATTATCTGTAGCTGATTTCCGGATCCAAAGGCGGAATATTTGGAATACAGATCATATAGCTCACAGAGCCAGAAATTTTAAGTATCTGACCCTTTACAAGGAAGATTTGCCAACTTCTAATGCAGAGGACTTACTAACTAGAGAAACATGTTCTCAAATGTGACGTTTCTTTTTTTCTTTTTTCCTTTAGTGTGGTTATGTTATTAACTTGAAATGTAGTTTGGTTAATTTGTTTCTGTTTGCATTCCATTTGGAGTTTTTTTCCTCCATTCTTATTAATTATATTTGGGTATGCAAAATATTAATATAGTTCTAAAAGTCAGATCTAGTAGGTTCTTGAAAACTGGGACTTCAAGCTAAATGATGTATAATGAAACCAATTTTACCACAGGCTAATTGATATAAAGAGGACTTAAGTTCCTGCAGCATATTTCTAGTCACAAAAACATCATCAAACTTCTAAATAAAGAGCAAAACACTTCTAATATTAAACATTGAAATTAATATAAGCTATACACATATTTAAGAAAGATGAATAAAAACAAGTAATAGTGCTCAATAAATATGTGTGTCTTCATTCTGCTATCTTATAGAAGCATAGATAAGAAATATACAACAACTAGAAGTCAATCTTGTGGTGCATTAGTTGTATATAAAAATGTACACAGATTTAGTAACTTAAAACAATACAGATTTCTTATCTTACAGCTTCTGTGGGTCAGAAGTCTAGGTACAGCGTAACTAGGTTCTCTGCTCAGACAATCAAGGTGTCTATACTAGTACTGTGAACTCATCTGAGGCTTGGCATCTTCTTCGAAGCTCACTGTTTGTTTGCAGAATTCAATTCCTTGTGGTTGTGAGACAGAAGTCCTCAGCTTCTAGAAGACACCTGCCATTCTGTCATGTGGTTCTTTCCACAACAAGGCGCCTGTCTTAAAAGGCTCGCCTGATTACATCAGACTCACTCAGGATAATCTTTCTTAGACTACCTCAAAATCAATTGATTAGGGCCTTTAATTACATTTTAAAAATCTTTTCACCTTTGCCATATAACTGATCTAGTTATAGAAGAGATTCCCTTCCTATTGCTCCTACACTCAAGGGGAAAGGAGTGTACAAGGATGTGGGGCATTGAGGGCCACTTTAGAAGTCTGCCTACCACATGGGCTTTTCCCTCACTGTGTGACTCCTCGGGCTTGCACGCTATCTAGGGGAGCCATCCCACAGAAGAATGATGTCATCAGGAAAGGCCGGGAGTAGAGTGTGTGTGCATTACATAGCCTGTGAACAGGTCTGGTTGGCTTTGTGACTTCAAGTAAGTCATTTCACATATATTTGCGTTTCCTATTGGGAGTCAATTCTCCATTGGGTTTTCACATTTCTGAAGGTATTGCAAGCAGAAGCACTAAAAGGTAACTGTATTTTCAAGGATGTTTGTATAGCAAGAAGCCTTGGAAGATATAGATAGCGTCATCCTCTAGAATAGAGGGTAAGTTTGTTAAGTGCCAGGTAAAAGAAAGATAATGTCTTCCTTCTGGAAAAAAATTTCCACAAGTTTGCTTGCAATCTAGTATAAAAGATTTGAGTTCATGAGATTGGAGCACCTCATCTGTGATACACACCTGTGCATGCAGCATTCACCTGGGCTCACTTTTGTGTTGTCTCCATTAGAACTTGGAACAAGACGAACCAATGCAACCATGAAGTTTATGCTGTTGTCTGTGTTGTAAACAATGGTCCTTTGTCTCTGGTCCAGGAGTCTCATTTCTTCTGCCAGCACTCATGAACCTACAACAGCTAACTTGTTAGGTTGCAAGGAAAAGAAAATCTCAGATATTCCATGGTTCTTAACATATCCCCATAGTACATTTGTATGAGGGGTGCTTCCAACTTCATTTGCTTAGCACCATGACCTATAGTCCTTCTAACTCACCCTCAGGTATCACTTCCTCCTTGGAAAGTTTCTTAACTCATCCCCTTTCTTCTAGAAAAAGTCACTCACACTCTCCTCCACACAGTAGTTCCTCCTTAACCACAGTTTCACTTTCCAGTTTCACTTTCCAGTTACCTATGGTTAACTGCAGTCTGGAAACATTAAATGGAAAATTTCAGAAAGAATTCATGTTGTAAATTGTGTGCCATTGTGCGTAGCATGATGAAACCGTGTGCTGCCTTGCTCTCTCCTGCCCAGCACTTGATTCATCCCTCTGTCCACTGTGTCCAAGTTGCATTTGCTCCTGGCCTGTGAGTCAATGAGTAGCCATCCCAGCTCTCAGAATCATTGTCCTGGTATTGCAGTACTTGTGTCCAAGAAACCTTGTTTTGCTTAATAATAGGATCAGAGTGCAGCAGTAATGGAACTGGCATATTGTGATCAAGGTTCCATTTTATTATTGTTGTTAAATCTCTTACTGTGCCTAATTTATGAGTTAAACTTTATCATAGGTGCAGGAAAAAGTGTAGTATGTATAGGGTTCAGTTCCATCTGCAGTTTCAGGTATCCAGTGGGGGTCTTAGAACATATTCCATAGAACATATTCCCCACAGAAATGGAGGGACTACCGCATTACCTTTCCACCTATGCCATAAAGGTCAGATTAAAAGGAAAACTGTCTTCCCCAAAACAACACATCGTTTTGAGAATAAAGAGTTGAAATATATTTAGTTCTGTATAAAATCTACTATAGAGGACTTTTCCCAATATTTTACTTTTCAAATCAGATTAGTATTTGGAGAAGAGACTTAACATGAAGCAACCTCAATAAACATTGGTATTGGATCTCCATAGAAGTCTCTTAATGGGATTATTAACAAAGGGGGCAAAGAAATGTAATGTAGGTATAATTATTTCTCTGGGGATTGGGAGTTGGTGACGACCTCCCAAGTTCACTTCTTGCACGTTGTCACAAACAAGGATATCAAAACCAGTTTAGGAATTCAATTGGGTAAGAGATGCATGTCGCAAAGATCATGAATAGTAAATAGAAACTGGTGACTTGGGAAAAAACTTCCAGTGACAACCTTTTATAAATATTCAAGAAGAGCTGCCTCTCAAACCCAAATAGAAATAAAGATGAGATGCACTAGGTGACTCAAAGAGCGCTTTGATTGACGAGGAAGACATAACACTGAGGCGACAGGATGAGTTCAAATAAACTTGCATCGGGAAATGAGCAGAGAAAAATTAATATACTTTACACATGATTGAATGTTAAATGTGTAGCTATTTTGAAAGGTAGGTATTTTATTATTTGGCTACCTTAGCTATTTGTATAGACAGCGTGTGTGTGTGTGTGTGCGTGCGCGTGCGTGTGTGTAATCCTATTTTGCACTTCCTAACAAGGAACCTGCAGCTGTCGTTATATTCACAGCTCTGCTGTATTTGGTGGTAGTTAGTAAACGTTCCCTGCATCTTGCACGTGATAGACAGTCTCCGCTTCTGAATGAGATGAAGTTAGAGATCATTGCATCCTCAACATTTTGCATCCTGTTTGACACAAGGTGGTCAGAAAAATTCATACTGAAAATTAAATTCTTCACCTGAGGCATCCATTTTCATCTCTATAAAAGAAGGTGATTTGACCAACTAATCTGCACTGTCCTTTTGGGCTCAGACATTCCAAGAGTCCTTCCTTTAGAAGCTGCTGGAAATCTGGGCTGTAACAGGCTGCAAATTCCTGTGAGAAGACTTCGTGGAAGTCTCTCCTCAGAGGCCTAATCAGGAAAGCCTTTTAGGGCTGAAAGCTGCCTTTGTGACACTGCCCCACCTCCCCCCTTGCAAAGGGGCCAGTGTTTCTGTGGGAAGAAGGGAAGCTCATGCTTTATGGCATGTTTTGCTAATGTGAGAATCAAAGGCCTTCCAGGTGTTAATGGCGGCAACGGTGCAGAAAGCCCAGAGTGACATAACTCAGTTCTGGCTTGTGTTGGTCTGACTGCCTTTTTTGGCATCAGCTAACTCTTAGTTTCCTTTCACCTTTTGGTTGAAATGAACTGAGTGAGCTGAGGCGAAGTTTCCTAGGGATTAGGATGTAAACCTGATCTTCCTGTACCCCAGATCCCAGGGCTGGAAATCAGCTGGCTGAGGGGAGGGAGGTGGAGAGGTGGGCAACTACTCACCCCATGGAAGTCACAGCTCTCATCACGTTTAAGAGAGACTGGAGAAGAAAACAAGGTCCACAGAGTCTCCTAATTACAAACAAGGGCCTGTCTCTTCTTATCCACATTAATTAATGCTGTTGCTTGGCTTTGCTTGCACAGAAGCTGAGTGGCTTATTCTGCCTTGCTCATGAAATTCTCAAGTCAAAGCACTCTGCTCGGCTGGCCATGGTGCCTGGCGGCATGGGGACAGACCTTCCCAATTATCACCTCCAGAATAAACCTATTCAGTTCTCTGCAAAAACAAATGACATCAGCAACAATAACCACGTGATCATGCTGGCGTTTACTTCTACCTGAAACGCATTCCCTGTAATTCCAAACAACCTAGTGTGGTGGGCAGGAAAGGTGTTGCTATTTGCACTGGCGAAATTAGAACATGAAGGCCCAGGGGAGCAAAGCAACCTCCTCGGGATAATAAAATGCATCAGGCAGACTGGATCCTGGTCCTTGTTCTTAAACTCCCAGAAGGAGAAGACTTTCTTATGAAAACCACTTCACTCCAAGTCACCGCAGAACCGAATTTTCTTCACTTTTTCTCAGCTGCAGGGCTGAGGTTTCATGGCATGGGAAGGGCAAGGTGTTGGGAATGAGTTAGCTATATTCAAATACTAATTCCATAGTTTACTAGCTGTTATTTAGCATCTCATAAGCTCAGTTAATTTATCTATAAAATGATCATAATAATGCTTTTCTCATGGGATTTCTGGAATATATAAATGCAAAAATATAAGTACCTTTAGATACTCATCAAATATATGAGTTCCTTTCTCCTTTCTTTAAGAGACACAGTCCTTCGCCATCAGTAATTTTATTTGCAGATCTCTCAAATGGCAGGGCTACAGAGAAACATATGAAAAGTAATAGATTCAGATATAGATTAAACATATCATGGGGGGGGGGCCATGGTAGGGAGGACTTCATATTTTGGAGTTTTCAGTCCCATCACCAAAAAAGATAGATAGGCCCCTCTCTTACCACATGCCAGCTTCCCTTCAGCTGTCAATCTGCAGTTCCATATTGCAGCCTCACTTGTCAGAGATTAGGGCCTCAGACGCCAATAAACTCACTGGTTGTTGCTATAAAGGCCTCTGAACAAAATGGGACATGACAAAGGAAACTGATGACAGCTTTCCATTCTACATACCAATGCAGGCTTGAGCTCAGACTCCCAGAAACTTTCTTTGCATTGAAGGAACCTCCAGTTCTCAGGACCCACTCTTCATTCTCCTGCTCTTTGGGCTGAATGCATAAATTGGTTAATGCTCCCTGGACTTTAGCAGTTAAAAAATTACAGTGTGGAAGGTACTGGTTTAGTTTTAAGCAAACATCTCCTGCTGAGGGCAAGGGACACACTCACTTAAAAGATGAAACTAGTTTGGATAATGTACTAGTTCCTTCTCATGACGCTAGTAAACACATACCCAAGACTAGGTAATTTATAAAGGAAAGAGGTTTAATTGACTCACAGTTCAGTATTGCTGGGGAGGCCACAGGAAACTTACAATCATGGTGGAAAGGGAAAGTAACATGTCCTTTCTCACACGATGGCAGGAAGGAGAAATGCCCAGTCAAAGAGGGAAAAGCCCCTCATAAAACATCAGATCTTGTGAAAACTCACTCACTATCATGGAAACAGCATGGGGGTGACCATCCCCATGATTAAATTACCTCCCATGTGGTCCCTCTCAGGACACGTGGGGATTATGGGAACTGCAATTCAAGATGAGATTTGGGTAGGGACATGGCCAGACCATATCAGGTAAGATATTCAGTATCTAAAGCTAAATAATGAAGAGAAATCAAACAACTTCTTCATAAGTAACTTCTAAAATTTCGTCAAATATTTTCTGGTCAGGTTAACTTCAAGCATATTTACACAGTTTCCTCTGTAATCTCCATTTTGTTTAAACTCAGGCAGAGTCAGATTTAACAAGTTTCTGATTCAGTCACGCTTAGTCCATTAACATGCCGTTTTGTGAAAGTAATATTGAAACAATTCTCTAGTATTTTGAGACTTTCTGAGCAGGAAGATACATGGGACCGACTATGTACTTTGTGAGATCCAGTGCACATGTGGGAATCCTGGTTCAAAAACTACTTAGAATTTCAAAGTAGTGATAAGAGAGTATTAAACTAAGCATGGAGCCTTTCTGAGGGCAGGGTCTTGTGCAACATTTCAAAGAGCAATTATTAAAGGTCTTTAGATCTGGGTGCTTTCCACAGATTCTTTAAAATACGCATTTAAATCTTGCAAACAAGAGATCTATAAATGTAATGAATCAACAACCCGGAGAAGGCTTGCAAATGTTCATTCATTCACTCGTCACTCGATTTAAGGAGGGCCTACCATGCATACTATTTGAGACTCAGAACGCAAAGATTTGTAAAGACCAACAGTTGCTTCGCATTTCGATATGCCAGCACAGCAGAGAGTCTTCCATAAGGAAGGCTTTCAGTAAAAGGCTAAGGAGACATATAGTCTGGCTGAGAAACTTCCATGTGTGGAGACAGAGAATAGACAGCATATAATCCAGGGCAATAACTGCCCCCATAGAAGCATATATGGGAGAAAGCTATCCTTGCCACTCGATTACATTATAAGGACCACAAAAATCTGAACAGTTCTTGCCACCTTGATTTTTCTTCAGCTGTTAATTTACAAGTATAGGACTTCCAAGGCTATGATTTGGACATCTATAGGCGAGACAAAGGTGGCCCAAGCAGTGATGCTCCAGGATTATAGTGGAAGGAGGAGGCAGTATACTTAGATCCACTGACTTGCACTTTGCCCAACTCATTGCAGATAGAACCTGTGCCATCTTGAAAAGACAAAGGCCACCATAAGGAATTTCTCCACCAGATATAGCTCAATCCTTTTTCCAACAAGTGGGGTCTGTTATGTTATATCCTAGGGTTGTGGATATGGAGGTGATCATTTATTTTCAATTAATAGTACAGTGTATGGAAAAGTTGGAACAAGCCTAGGTTCCAAATGAGCCCTTGATCTGCATTGGTGACAAAACCCATGCAAGTCAGTTAAGTTTCTGAGCATCTTTAATGTGCAAGGAGGGGCCTCATTTCTCTAGCATAGTCCTTTAATTTCTGGAGGTAAGTACTTCTCTCTCAATTTTACTTATAAAGAAGCTGAAGCTAAGAGAAATCAAATGCCCTTCCCATGTGGGCACTCAGCCTGAGAGGTGCAGGCTCCCGCCAAGCGTTTTCTCCACAGTGCATGGCTGTGGCCTCTGCATCTTTGTCTATAAAATGAAAAAGAGGCCCCTCTCCTAGGTATGTCAAGGGTTGCTGAAAGTAAGATGTGGGGGTGAATATATAACCACCTCAAAAGCTATGAAGCACTGCAATGGAAATGACTATTATTACTTTTCAGCAAATAGAAACACATTTTATCCAAAAAAGCATTATGAGAAGAAAACTACATATGCATTATTTTTTATTCCTCACCAAGCCTTAGGGCAATTATATTCATTTTTATTATCTGATTATATTATGATCTGATTATAAAAATTGTATAGGCTTATTGTGGAAGATATGGATCACACAGAGTAAAAATAAGAGAAATTATACCTGTAATATCAAGTGTTAATGGTAAATATTTCTATCCTATGTTTTCTGTGTGTGGATCTCTAAAATATATTGTTGAGAGGAAACTACATAATCCATACATGCACATACTATTTGAATCATACCTTTAAAATTCAGCGTTCATTTATTCATTCAAAGTAGCTGAGCTTCTGCAGTTGCAGGCATGTGTAACATGTCCTGGGAGAATAAGGGAGAGTGGTGCAGAGAATAAAAAAAGCTAGCGACGCAGGTGGATGCAGAGAGAGCAATTGCAAAAATGATCCTCATCAAACACGATGAGGGTATTGCTGAAGAAGAATATAGGAAATAAACTTAGAGGATAAACAGGAGTTATTAGGATAAAGCAGAGAGAAGGTAAGGGAACAGCCTATATGGTCGGGGCAGGAAACAGCATGGTGCACAGGGTGTACAAGGAGCCGAAAACAAGACCTCTATGGCCAGGGCTAGAAGGACAAATGACATGAGGGGTAGTATGTGGATTTTCCCACATCATTTAAACTTTCTATGAAGTGACATTTTAAATACTCGAGGCAAGTTTTCACACCAATACCTCAAAACATGAGAATACAGACAGCCATCAGTCTTCCCTCTATGCTTATGGACTAGAAGGTTTCCTCTCCCTGAAGACAGCAGATTTGGCAAAACGCTCTGAGGGACGTTATTATCGTTGTCAACATCCATCTGTTCCACAGAAATCAGAAAATGTTGCCTAAAACTGTTGTGTTGGAATATATTTATCTTACAGGTTCTGATGTATCTGCCTATCTCTAACTCTTCCAGATCTTCTCCAGTCCCTTCAAGTCTCCACTTGAGGCTCTCTGGTATTTCCTCAAACCAGGGAGCTTTGTCCCCAGCCAGCCTCCAGGTCCGGGCCTGGCTGACAAAGAAGGCCATGACTCACCACCTCCTCATTCCTAGAAGATTCCCTCCTCAGATCCGGAAGAAAGGCAAGATAGTGTTGATAATATTGGTGCAGAGGCACGAGGGAGTGAGGGCCGCCTCCGCTACTTAGTGAGTGGTTTGGGGCATCACTGAACCTCTTGGAGCCTCAGGGTTTTCACTGGTAAAAGACTGAGAGTGGAGATCGTGAGGATTAATATGAAGTGGATGAGGAGGCGAACAGTGCCTGGTGCTGGGGAGGTGTCAATGAAAGGGAGTCGTTATGAGAAGGCACAGACTTGCAGTCTGCAGCGAAAGGCCTCAGGGAGGAAATGGCAGGGCCCGCTCTGTGGATGGGCATTTCCTGACTGGACTGGGTCTAACAATCATCGGATTGATAGGCTCATTTATGGCTGTTCTTCAGGAGCGACTGGGTTTCTGTAGCAGCGTAATTGGTGTTTTCATTCTGTGTACGAACCCTAAGGTGATTTCTCATTTTATAGGAAAGCCCCCAATAAATGATTAATTAAAGCCCCATAAAATATGACTTTTTAAAGTCATTTACTACTCAACTAGGACACCTCAGAAGTTCATGCTACGTTTTCATATCATGACACGCTTGGAATCAATTAATTTATGTATGTATTCATTCTCTAAGCAGCCCACTTTCTCATCTCTAATGTGTTTAAATCATGGTAGGCACTGGGGAGAAGGAAAAAAATCTAATTTCTACGCAGGGCTTGCTAAATGGCAAGTGCTATTTCATTTCAGCTTTCCGTATTGCCTTTTGAGACAGGTGCTATTGCTATTGTCCCCATGCAATAGAAAAGGATATTGAGCCTCAGGTTTTTAGGTGTCACTGACAAAGCTCCATGGCTAGGGAACACTGGAGCTAGGCCTTGCAGCCAGGTGGATTTGTTTCCAGGGTGTCAGTTCTCTCAACTCACTCACATGATGGGTCCAAGGAGGAATGAAAAGTATCTCCTGCCTTCAGTGGCCTCAGTTTTGCTAAACTAAAGAAGATTCAAATTAAGCAGAGGCTGTAAACAGTCCAAGCTCCCTATGTTTTCAGTCTTTATGCTGAAAGATGGAAGTGCATGGCATGGGTTTGGCAGACTAATGGATGGGTCCACTATCTGCAAAGCAAACCAGGATGAACAAGCATACACAGCTAGGGAGGCCAGAGTGCTGTGACTAGGAAGGGTATTGACATTGAGGAGGCAGATTCCAAAGGTTCGGTCAACCCGAGTCCCCTCAACTAGGTTCTCACAATAGGCAAATGACCCAAAGTCCAATTTTAAAGTTTTTGTGGTAATGTTTTAAGGAACCTCAGCTCCTACCAAGACATAGGTGGGTCCTCTCACCATCTGTAAGTTGAGGCTTCACATCTGTAGTTCTCTCCTTGGCCTTAACATTAAGATTACAATGATCTGGAGAAGGTTTAGCAAATACTGATGACTGGGGTTCACCCCAAAAGTGTGTATGTCATGGCCTGGGATGCATCCCAAGCATTCAGTTTTTTAAATCTCCCCAGAAGAATCGAACACGCAGCAAGTTTGAAGACTTGGAGAATTCTCTCATCTCCCATAGAGTTTGTTTGCCTAGGCATAATTTAGAGGAAGAGTCACACGGTATCACTTTTCTCTTTTACCTGTCAATTTCAATGACCCCTTTCTCCCCATTTCTGGACTTCTTATTCAGAGTCCCCTTCCCTCAGCCTCATACAGCCTGCTAATGGCATGTGCTAATTCCACCCTGGGCACTAACCCTTTGGATTTCCTAATGCAGAGGACATTTTTTATTTAAAAAGAGGATACTGATGTCTTAACAACAGCAGCAGCAGCAAAAACCAAA